GTCACAAGGGTGCAGTCGTGCACACTGGAGAGCATGCAGGTTTGATTAATAAGAGTACCTGCAGGGTGATGCCAGCGCTCTGCAGACACTGAGACACACTCAAAAGCTCTGCTGCAGGAAACCCAAACACAACCCTCTCCTTCGCTGGTAAAGGTGATAAAATACAAACATTTTATTTGTTTTCTGAAACATTTTTTTCTCTACAAGCTTTCTTGTCACCTTCCAAAATGTTCTAATTTATTTTTCTAGCAATCTTTTCATTTCCTGACAGCTTTAATATTTCATCCACTGTCAGGGGCGCAGATAGGATTTTCAAACTGGGGGGGGACAAAGTTCCAATGTACCCTCCCCCAAACACACACACACACACACACACACACACACACACACGCACACACACTATTGCAAGCGCCTTAACTAGAGCTCAGTCAGTTTGTGTAATTTCATCCAACGGTTTACGTAAAAACTAGCTATTGTATACGTGTTTGAAGCCATTATGCAGCAAAGCTCTGCCTGATCAACACTATAAATGATAAATGATCTGCACTTGTATAGCGCCTCTCAGAGTAAGGACTCCAAAACACTTTACACTACAGTATGTCATTCATCCATTCACACACACATTCACACACTGATGGTGATAAGCTACGATGTAGCCACAGCTGCCCTGGGGTGCACTGACAGAGGCGCCCCACTATTTAATTCAGTCATTTGTTATTCTTCCAATCAATTACTAACCAAAACCTCATGCTTTATGCAAAACATTAAATTATTTCCAGCATACCAATCTTTACAGAAAACATAAAAACCCTAAAAAACTGCACATAAAATATATTTAAAAAACAAAATTCACTTATCACTTAGAGCAGTGGTTCCCAAACTTTTCAGCCTGACCAACAGATGTTCCTTCGTATTTTTACGTTACTTAGAAATTTTCATTATATTTGGAAAGTTTTAATTTATATATAAATAGAAGAGACAGTTCAATTCTAACTCCTCTAGCGCTACCTTTGATGGCGTTTATCGCAGCATCCTCTCAAACCATTGAGTAACAGGTGTGTAGAAACAACTTAGCTCTGAATAACTCTTACCTCTCTTTTCTCATCATTTTGATGATTCAAGGTGCTTGATAGCTCAGGGATCAATCCACGGCTCACTTCTGTTATCTGCACGTACATCTCCCTTTTATCAGCCATTAACAAAAGTGCAGATGGTACTCATCTATAGAGACTTAAGGAAATGTCGACACACTAAGATGTTGCAATATTTTGTGTTATGATTCTGAATTCACGTTTAAGAGCAGTGTATTGACTTGTTTATTGAGAATTTTCATACAAAAATGTCTTTTGTGTGGTGCAGCTCAGTCTCTGACAACTAGGTGGCAGATGTTTTAACTGCCTTCATTCTGATGGAACAACAACATCTGGCCTGAGTTTTCAAATCAGTTTTAAAAATCGCAAAAATCATCTGACTCTTAGTATCGCAATAGATTGTATCGTCTCCCCTGTGTTCGCCGTACCACCAGATTCACACCCGTAGCCAGAAGCAGCAACTCAGCTTGAATGTATTACTCATACGTCCTCACTTTGATCATTCAAGAACCTCAATAGCCCAGTTAAGAATGTGGAGTACCTCAGAGATGCACCCACGGCCCACTTTCATTGTCTACACACAGGAGTTAAGTGCTCGCCCCGTAATTGGAAGGTTGAAGGTTCAAGCCCCACTCAGTCTGTCGCTGTCGTTGTGTCCTTGGGCAAGACACTTAACCCACCTCGCCTGCTGGTGGTGGTCGGAGGGATCGGTGGCGCCAGTGCTCGGCAGCCTCGCCTCTGTCAGAGCGCCCCAGGGCAGCTGTATCTACATTGTAGCTCATCCCCACCAGTGTATGAATGTGTGTGTGAATGGGTGAATGACTGATTGTGTTGTAAAGCACCTTGGGGGATTCCAGGACTCTAGAAGACGCTATATCAAATACACTCCATTTACATTTACCATTTACACACATCCTTTAATCACATTCTTCAGAACCGTTAGCAAAAATGCAGATGACACTCCTCTACAAACTACATTTCATAGATTTCATTCATCTGAAAAAGGCCTAAATGGACTATTAAATGGAGGGTTAATTTAGATTTCATCTCTTACATCAAAATTTCCCGTTCTGTAGCAGCTGCATCAGTCATTTGCAACCATCTTTAACATGCAAGGCGGTATGTGCTTTCCTCTGCTCACACATCAAGAGGGGCATGCAGGACAAGTTGCCAGACGCTCACACAGCTCATACATACAAACACACAGCCATTAACACCTCCACTAATTAAGAGTCGGTTATTAATCTGAGCTATACACTTCAGGGAAATAGAGGATCACCTTCAGACTCTAACCAGGAAGGTTCTGGCTGTCAGGAGGCCTTGAACCAAGACACCGTCTGCAGCAAGTTCCTTCTGTCTTTTATATTTCTCGTGTAGGTTTGTGTCGACACAGCAGAGCAAAGACTTGCATAAAAGGAGACTGAATTCAGCTAGCTGAAATTGGGCCACATGCTATGCTGCATGAGTTTTAACCACTTAGCCACCGGAGCACTCCACTATTTTTGAATATTTTACCGACTTTCTGAAGCCCGTGCCCTGCAGACATCCCTTGTGGTGCTGCCAAGCCCACTCAGCAGACAGGTTTCCAGGGCGTTCTGCCTCCAGCCCATTCATCAGCAGTAATATGAATAATCATCTGAATCGAGGTCAGGTAACTGGCTCATTCCACTGACGGAGAAGGAAAAACCTCGTCTGTAAGTTAGCCGGGTTTGTGTTTGAATGTCCTGACCTAAAACAGGGGGACTATGCCAGACCGTGGAGAAATGAACCAATAGAAGACCTATTAACCCCACACATTCCTCAGCGTGGATGGGTTAATAGGCTGTCTTTTCAGGGGTGGGAGGACTTCTCCCCTGGAATTGTCCATTCTTCCAGAATATGAAGGGTTAATGGGTTAGAACAGGTTAACGGGGTCTGGTCCCTGTCCTGTGGATCTATAGCCTGGCAAGCCAGACTAAATAAATGTATTATTTAGTCTGGCCACGCTCCATTGACGGCTCTCGGTTGTGGGGCGGGTTCTACCGTTGTCTTTCAAATGATCTCCGCATTCCACTGGACGATGAATGTGACATCCTCTTGTTTCACTCTGTTGCATCATCCCACCCACCAGGCATATAGAGTGCCCTGATTGGCCCACAAAGCGGATAAAGCTCTGTGATTTGTTCACTAAGCAGATAGAGCACTATGATTGGCCCACCATTATGGACCAATCACAGCTCTTTATGTGTTTGAAACCCCTCTAGAGAGCTGTGATTGGCCAGCCAGAGTCCTGGTAGGAGCTGCGGAGGTTCCAATGGAGCATGCCTAGACCAAACGTTGCAAAGCAAGAATTTGGTCTAGTTCACTAGGCTAGTGGATCTATTCTTGAAATAAAACAGTCCAATAGGAAGGTGTTGAGGCAAATAAAGTATCATTTAAATGATTGGATGAATTGTCCTGATTTCTCTTTTCGAAGGAGACTAATGTCCCTTTTGACTACTGAGTCGGTGCGTTAATAAATCACGTAGAAGCCAGCCTTTCACCCAAGCAGAGAGCCACCATGAGTCATTTTGTGACTTAAAGGCTGCGGTTTTATCGTCGGGACCTCGCGGGGGTGTAATCTGGGGTTAGAGACATGTTATTCTCACAGCTCAACCTTTTCTGCTAAAGATTACAATTACTTTCTTCTGCTTTGTTTTCTACTTGTACCTGCTAGCATGGCCACTAGGTGGTGGTTATGCACTAAGTGGTCTCCAGTCCGCCTGAGTGATGTTCCAGGCGGAAGAGAAGACTTCAGCTCAATACCTGCCAGCATAAGTCATAAACGCCTGAAGGAGGATAAATCATTGACATGCTCCTGCAGTTCCACCATGCCATTGTAGTTTTACTTTGACTGGATTACAAAGTGGAAGCTGCACACATACAGTACATGACTAATTACCTGAGCAAGCAGTTCTTTACTCTGATCTAAAGTGCCTGAGTTACATCCCAGTTCATTGGGTCGGATTCTGCAGATTTAAGGCAAAAACAGGGTAAACTGGTTCTATATTAGGTCCTGAATCCACATCACGGAACGGCAGCAGAACATCACAGCTTCAAATCGAATCTATCATAGTCTCTGGGGGTGTTTCAAACCAGATGCAGCGCAGAAAAAACACGTGTCCCAGAAGCGTCTCGCCGCACCGCTGAAGTCCGCGTCTCCAGGTAACACTGGGCTAGACAGGAAATAACACCTGATTTCAGCCATTTTTAAAATAAAAATAGTGCAGCGATGCCATTTCATATCTACGGCTTATTTACTCCCAGCATCTTTCGAGAAGTGCAACGGCGTGTTTTTCATGGCTTTTCTCCCGGCAGTGGAGCGGAACAACATTATGATCAAACGTGATTTCCTTCTTGTTGGTTTACTGGCTGATGGCACAAACCAACCGTGACCTTTGAAGTCTCTGATTTCACGAGTCCAGCGAGGAGCACGTCAGACATGCTGCTCCACGATGGAGATTCTCCCAGTGTGTACTGACACGCAGCAAAACTCCCGAGTAAACCGTTCCGATGCCGCTCCGCGCCGCCGATGCCATTCCGGTGTGACGTAGGGGTCACCCTCACCCTGTGGGTGAGTATTTTGCTGTCAACATTGGGAACTTGTTGCTAGTTTTGCCCTCAGGGTCATGAAAGCTCACAAAGAGAAGAGCAAGCCTCTCACTTGATAAGTCTTATTTGTTTCAAAGCTTGGATCCAGACTGAGGTTGAGACCTTTCTCCAACTTCACGACGGAGTTGGAAAACAATTCTCATCTCAACCCCGAGAGACTTGACTAAAGAAGCACCAGAAACTGCTTCTATTGTACTTTTTTTTTCTCAAAGCTTTCAGCACAGGCTTTGGTGTGCAGACACATGAAAGAAGAAGAAAGAAATGCCAGAAGAATTTTACCTGATCCCCATCTTTCCGTACCGGCACTGCATCGGCTGCTGAAAGACAACGAGACAAAGAGAAGGAGGGAAAACAGATTGAATGAAAGAAGCTCTCATTATCCTGTGAATTTCTTGCAACAGGTGTCAAGCCATAAACACATGATGTGGATGCAAGAAGACGGGCAAGCTAAGCCAGGAATTGCTGCTGGGGGGGGGGGGCAGAAACACAGACAGGGGGGAAGATAACAGGGTGTCGAAGAGATGCAGCCTTCAGCATTCTGATGGAGAGAAAAGGACCAGCACGTTCCAGTAGATCACACACACACACACGCACGTACGCACGCACACACACACACACATACGCACACACATACACATGTTCCAGTAGATCACACACACACACGTAGGTATGCACACGCAAACACACGCACGCACCTATGCACATGCACATACGCACACACTCACATACACACACACACACACACATGCGCACGTATGCACACACACACACACACACGTACATACAAACTTGTATTTGTACGTTTTTGTGGACCTCCATTGACTTTCATTCATTTTAGTGACTTTTTGCCTAACCCATACCCTAACCATAACCAATAGGGTTCTTTTCCTAACCCAAAGCTATCCATCCATTCATCCATTTTCATCCGCTTATCCGGAGTCAGGTCGCGGGGGCAGTAGCCTAAGGCGAGAGGCCCAGACTTCCCTCTCCCCAGCCACTTGGGCCAGCTCCTCCGGGGGAATCCCAAGGCGTTCCCTGGCCAGGTGAGAGACATAGTCCCTCCACCGTGTCCTGGGTCTACCTTTAGGTCTCCTCCCGGTTGGACGTGCCCAGAAAACCTCACCAGGGAGGCGTCCAGGAGGAATCCTGACCAGATGCCCGAGCCACCTCAACTGGCTCCTCTCGATGTGGAGGAGCAGCGGGTCTACACCGAGCCCCTCCCGAATGACCGAGCTTCTCACCCTATCTCTAAGAGAGAGATTGCCACCATGACAGGCACTGACGATCCTGCAACCACAGCTCCGGTCGGCCACCCCAACAATGGAGGCACGGAACAGGGTCCATTCAGACTCAATGTCCCTCGCCTCTCCCGGAACATTTCGGAAGTTCTGTCTGAGGTGGGAATTGAAGGTCCTTCTGACAGGAGACTCTGCCAGACGTTCCCAGCAGACCCTCGCGATACGTTTGGGCCTGCCTGGTCTGATCGGCATCCTCCCCCACCATCTGAGCCAACTCACCACCAGGTAGTTGTCAGTTGACAGCTCCGCCCCTCTCTTCACCTGAGTGTCCAAGACATGCGGCCGCAGGTCAGATGAAACGACAACAAAGTCGATCATCGAGCTGCGGCCTAAGGTATCCTGGTGCCAAGAGCACATATGGACACCTTTATGTCTGAACATGGTGTTCATTATGGACAATCCATGACTGGCACAGAAGTCCAATAACAAAACACCACTCGAATTCAGATCAGGGGGGCCGTTCCTCCCAACCACACCTCTCCAGGTCTCACTGTTGTTGCCCACGTGGGCGTTAAAGTCCCCCAGCAGAACGAGGGAGTCACCGGAAGGAGCGCTCTCCAGCACCCCCTCCAAGGTCTCCAAATAGGGTGGGTAGTCTGAACTGTAGTTTGGTGCATAAGCACAGACCACAGTCAGAACCCGTCCCCCCACACGTAAGCGGAGGGAGGCTACCCTCTCATTCACCGGGGTAAACCCCAACGTACAGGCACCAAGATGGGGGGCAACTAGTATGCCCACCCCTGCTCAGCACCTCTCAGTGGGAGCAACTCCAGAGTGGTAGAAAGTCCAACCCCTCTCAAGCAAACTGGTGCCAGAGCCAGAGCCATGCGTTGAGGTGAGTCCGACTATATCTAGTCGGAACCTCTGAACCTCACACACCAACTCAGGCTCCTTCCCCACCAGAGAGGTGACATTCCATGTGCCAAGAGCCAGATTCTGTAGCCGAGGATCAGACCGCCAAGGTCCCCGCCCTCGACTATCACCCGTCACACACTGCACCCGACCCATTTGGCCCCTCCCACGAGTGATGAGCCAATGGGAAGGGGGACCCACGTTTCCTCTTCGGGCTGTGCCCGGCCGGGCTCCATGGGTGAAAGCCCGACCACCAGGCACTCGCCAACGTGTCCCACCTCAAGCGGGGGGCCCCGGTGACCCACGTCCGGGCGAGAGAACACGGTTTCCATTTATATAATTCATCATAAGAGGTCTTCGGACTGCTGTTTGTCTGATCCCTCACCTAGGACCTGTTTGCCATGGGTGACCCTACCAGAGGCATAAAGCCTCAGACAACTTAGCTCCTAGGATCATTGAGACACTCAAACCCCTCCACCACGGTAAGGTGGCAGCCCAGGCAACCCATACCCTAACCACAACCAATAGGGTTCTTTTCCTAACCCAAAACTAATCTAACCTAAACTAAAAGTTAATTCAGGCCAAACCTCTAAAACCAAGTTTAGGATGCTGATCATTGTGTGGACCAGCAAAAAGTCCCCACAATGTAAAAATGTTCACAAAGTACAGGTTAAAACCAAACGTTGTCCACTTAAACATACAAAGACAAGTACACGCACACACACACACGCACACACACACACACACACACACACACACACAAACAAACCAATCTAAAATAAGATTAACAATCCACGTCAGGCTCCTGCAGGTGAAACCAGAGTGACTCACTGAGAGTTGATCTCAGCTGATGAGCATTTATTATTTTTTTTACAAAAGTATCATCTAAAGTAATTAGGTACTCCTCTAATTACAGAGCAAAGAATATCTCTTGGGGCCAATTTGAGGTTTATTGTTTGTCTGCCGATCCATTTGGCCTTTTGTTGAAGCGTTTATCATCATCGTCCATCAGGAAGCTCTGCAGTGCAGGATTTCGTGATCTCATGATAATGCGGTCCAAGAAATTTAATAATTTATTTACTACAAGGATTAAAAAACAAGTCAACCTGCAGATGAGAATGAACTTTCTCTCTCTCACATAGCCAGCGCGGTTATTCCTGCCCATTCATGATCCAGAGGTAAGCTGATGAGTTCTTCGTGTTACAAACACAGAACCAGCATCAGACCCTGTAGGGCTGGGGAAACGTCCTAGACGTGTTCCTACGTCTGCTGTTCCACTGTGAGGAAACCTTGGGGGGAAAACACCAAAACCTCCAGAGAAGAATCCGTCTCAGACCTAGCTCGGAAACACCTTGATGTCTCACCAGGAGAGCTGGGAGAAACAACTTAGGCCTAGTCCACACGTAGCCGGGTTTTTTAAAAACGAATATCCATCCGCCCCTCCAAAAACTTGCATCCACACCACCGCGTTTTAAAAACAGACTCTGTCCACACGTACCCGGATAAATACGTTGTTAAGGACATGCCAGACCTGTAGGCGGCAGTACTTCCCCCGTTCTTAACCTCGTCCTTCGTCTGTGGTCTTCCGCAAGGAGCAGTAATTCCGCTTGCAAAAACAAACAAGCAGAAAGCGCTTGGACAATTGATGGATCGGGTAGTGACAGAGCGCAGCTCTGAAGGCTTCCGTGATGCCGGCTAGTGTAAACACAGGTCGCACACGTGATGTCAGCATTTTTTTGTCGCGGAAAGTGACGTTGCGGACCTTAAAACTCCGGTTTTGTCCGTCCACACGCAGACACCCAAAACGGAGAAAACGCAGATCTTCACTTTGGCCGGAGTTTTTAAAAAACTCCGTTTTCGTGTGAAAAAAACTCCGTTTTCGTGTGGATGACAGGCCAAAACGTAGAAAAATATCTACGTTTTGGCAGATCCCCGGCTACGTGTGGACAGGACCTTAAAGGCAAAACTCCCCTTTTGCATATTTTTGTGCTGCCATGTGGGTCTCACCTGCCTCCACAAACACTCCAATCATAAAAAAATCCACCCATCCATTTTCTGTCAGTGTTTAGGTCCAGCAGTTTCAGAAAACATCCGTCTGTGATGTCACAAACGGGAAATTAGACTAGAAACACGTCTCACTTGCAAAAGAGAGCTGCTTCTGGAGGAGCAGCAGCTCTACTCCAAGACCCTTACAGATGTCAGAGTGTCGCAGCTGATAGCAGCCTGAGTGGGGCATGGGTGGGCATGGCTAGCTCCATCTTGTTTTTTAAAGGGACAGATCCTTGAAACGACTCATTGTGGAAGGCACTGAAACTGAATAATAAAACTGCTGAAATCCCTTTATGTGAGAGGAAAGAGCTTCATTATCATGTTTTGTATCTACGGTTAGAAGTTAAGAATTAATTTGTCTCCTTTAAGGAGGACAGGGTGGTGAGATCTTCTTTAGACTGTTGCTTTCAGGTTGGGAACATAAAAACCAGATCGACGTAGGGCCGTCGGTACGGGGACGGCATTTCAGGATTAAAAACAAACCATCCGACTCACTGAGGAGCAGAACTAGACGAGACACCAGGAGAACGTTCCTGGTAAGGCCAGGAGAAATCAGCAGTTAGTGAAACATCTCCTGGTGGCAGCGCCACACACAGGCCAGACAGTGTTACTACAGCAGGTTGGGTCGTGTGTTTCTTCAGGACATTTCTAGAAGCTGTGTTGTTCATGCTGATATTTTTAGAAAAGAGGCCATAGCCTCCACTCGCAACAGAGAGTTTATTCCAGGTAGAAATTCCAAAGAGCAAAAACATTTTCCTAAAGAACCACAACGTTCTTTCAGCTCATTCCCGGATGTGTTCGAGATTTGTGCTGCATGCTTAGCTGCTGAGAACACATCAACACCGTCTCTGAGTCAGTCCGTGGTTCCGGTGGGCTTCACATCCTGGATGTAAACAAAAACAGGATGTGACTCATGGATGGAGCGCTGAAGATCACGCAGATCTACTCCATACTCTCAGGTTGGCCTTGACGAATCACATCTACGGTCGGTTTTCTTGGAAGTGCCATTTTTATTGCAGCATGAAGATGAGTGGAAATCAAATCCTGGCACTAGAATTAGATTCATTAAGCGTGCCGTGCGCATGGTGCAGAGGGCCTCACCTGCGTGACTCAGAGAT